TCTGGTCTCTACCGACCAGCTCCGATCTCTACCGACCGGCTCCGGTCTCTACCTTCCCCCTCCGGTCTCTACCGACCCGCTCCGGTCTCTACCGACGTCCTCCAGTCTCCGGTCCCTACCGACCCCCTCCGATCTCTACCAACCCCCTCCGGTCTCTTCCCCCTCCGGTCTCTACCGACGTCCTCCAGTCTCCGGTCTCTACCGACCCCCTCCGGTCTCTTCCCCCTCTGGTCTCTACCGACCCGCTCCGGTCTCTACCGACGTCCTCCGGTCTCTTCCCCCTCTGGTATCTACCGACCCCCTCCGGTCCCTACCGACCGGCTCCGGTCTCTACCGACCCCCTCCGGTCTCTACCGACCCGCTCCGGTATCTACCGACCCCCTCCGGTCCCTACCGACCGGCTCCGGTCTCTACCGACCCGCTCCGGTCTCTACCGACCCGCTCCGGTCTCCAGTCTCTACTGACCTGCTCCAGTCCCTACAAATTATAATTTTAGGGCTAATTCTGGTTTAAAACGTCTGACTAACTTCCTCCCTTGGTCTGTATGATGCCGTTTGATCATTTCTGCTACCAAACCAGAACAGCAGCACCTTGGAAAAGAACCTGTTTTATTTCGGGGTGTCAGGGTTTAATGCAGCTTAACATAACAAGGTGAGAGGGTGTGAATACTTTTAGACAGCACAGCATCCTGAAGTCTAAGCTAAGGATGTATAAAGCTGCCTGGTGTTGTAGCGTTTTCTTATTTGCGGGTGTCTGATGTGAGAAAGCGAACATCAGCCCCATCGATACCACTGATTCTTTTATTGGAAAAACTGAAGCTGAAGGAAATGAAAGTGAGGCTGAGATCCTCTGACTCCATCTTGTTTATTCTCCCACAGAGAGAGCAGACAAAGCTGTCAAACATTTTAAACACCAGAGCCAACTTCCTCCATTACTCCATCCCTCTGCAACAATTATTCATCCTCAGAGAGCCATGGATTCCCTCCCTGCACGCCGCCGTACACACTGATATAGTCTCTATAGGTTTGGTGCTTGTCTACTTTAATCCCAGCTGGTTTATTCTGCTCTGATCAATGACCTACAACTAAGAAGTGATCACCCAGCTGGAGGAAAATCCTGCCCTAACATCATCCCTTTTCCCCTGCTTTCTGCCTCTTTGTCTCTAATTCACCCTAATTTAAGCCTGATAGCATCGCGCGCTGTCCAGGGGCCTGGCAGAGCTGTAAGTCTTACAGCAGGATTAGCTTTCCTCCAGAAACATTTTGCTGACGGCCAGCATGGCTAAAATATGGCCTCCATTCCTTCACATGGCTGAACGAGGGGCTGCTTTGCATTTTAACGAAGCTTTGGTTTATTCTCACACAGGGAGAAAATCTCACACAGAAGATAAAACCTGCTGCTGTAAATGAAACCCGAGATTCAGCAGACGAATTAGAGGGGATGCTTTGTGTAAAGCGGAGCCATGAGTCACTGGAATAGGAAAAGGAAAGAACAAATATTGGTTACAGGGACATTAAAAACCAGCCCATATAGAAGGAAAAGGATAATAAAGAACAAAGCGGTTCAACTAAAACAGGATGTGTGTGAAAAAAACGGACTCTAAAGGGAGAGCGCAAAGACCAGCGTTCAGTTCAACCAAAGTATCAGAGATCCTTCCAGGCGTGCTGGTTAGGCTCCAGTTAAAGGCTGCAACAAGAACAGCTCAGAAAGAAATGGAGGCCGTTTCTCAGTATGTCTACTGGTCTGTTCTCCTGGGCTCCTGAAACGTCACCATCACTGTTCCAATTCACAAGAACAGCAAACGGAACAGACAGGGCTTCGT